TGCATTGTGATACCACTATATTACATCTCTGATCGACTACACAACCGACCTCAGTGTAATACCCAAACACATATAAGATGCATTGTGATACCACTGTGGTATCACCGGAGGACGGTGGCCGGACGGCAGAGGACGGGGGAGGAGAGAGGAGAGTTTTAAAATACATAAAATATCCTTGTATTAAAATTTTAATTCAAAATTACCAAAATTATATATTTCCTAATTTATCTATTGATTTATAGTTGAGATTGGACTTCACGGTTACCACAAACTAATTAGTTCTCATTTGATTCGATTCACATACATACATGCATACATACATACATACATATATATATATATATATATATATATATATATTTGCATCCCATCACTATGAATTATGTGTATAAATTTTTAGCCTCTATTTTTTTTAAACACCAAAAATAATTGTTTTATTTTTTGAGATAGGTGACATATCTATATAGTTTCAAACCTTACTTCCAAATGAAATATATTAAATCTGTTTGATTTATTGTCAGAAAAAAGTATATAATAATAAAACAATGTTTTATAAACAGGGTAAACAATGGAAATAATAGTTCTACTTTTTAAGGTAAAAAACAAGTTTATGTATCTCCTATTCTCAAACATTACTTTTATATTTTCAAAGCTTCTGTGGCTATGGAGGTTAACCTGCGATAACTTCAAATCATTCGTTGCTCACAAGATTAGTCTGTGAACAATAAGCCGATTTTGAAACCCTAAAGAAAAAAGAAAAAAACTTACTTCTATATCTTTGGTTTGGTTTGGTTTATTAATGTAAAAGTTATATCACTTTTGATGAATTGTATTTAAGCAATTTTGAGTTATTGGTTAAATGTTCAAATACCAATCAAAGATGATGAATTTATAGAAGAAAACACATGTTATCAATAATGCAAATTTAATATTTCATTAAATTATTTTTAAATAAAAAAAATCAAATACTTCAATCTTGAAAAAAAAAAAACTTCTTTTGCTTTAGGAGTTGTTTTGAAAATGATGTAAAGATGACAAATTCAAGATCAACATTAAAATAGAAAAGTGACGTCAACACACACAAACACACACACACACATATATATATATATATATACAACTCGTACAATGTAGCGAGATACATCTCAATTTTAATGTTTCGTTTTTATTCTGTCTTCGTCGATATTATAATACGATTTTATAAGGTACTGAAAAACGATAATGTTTTTTTAAATAAAATATAAATTTGAATATATCATAAAATTTTGAAAAAAATGTATTATTTTTAGTATCAAATTAAATATTTACAATTTTTTTATTGATTATAATTTAATTTAGATCTAATAATTTAATATAATTTTTATATAAAGATAATAATTATTATTTTGTTAGAATTCAATGATATCTTAAATGTATTTTAGAATTTGTATGTTTAAAATGAAATATTTATCCATAATTTGATTATGTTTTTATCTACAGTTAGTTACACAAATTCAAACATGAAGCTTTAATAAGTTGTATATACGCACAATTTATTGGTATTTTTGAATTTTAAATAATATGCATTAATAAATAATACTTAATGTTTGAAATATAGTTTTTAAAACTTTTTGTTTAGTATAAATGAATAATATTTTATATTATATAAATATAATATTTTATTTGATTGTTTTGTATAATTTAATTTGTATTATGATACTTCGATATAATTGCAGTCCAAGCAACACAGCTATAAAAGAAATTATTTATTCCTCGACATTCTAATAAAAAAATTAGTGATTCGATGTTTGTTGTTCGAGTGTTAAAATACACGTAAACAAAATATTATAATAGAACTCGTGATTTTATTCTTAACAAATAAATAAACATATAAGCATTCATATATAGAGAAGGGTTCAAACAAGACACCTTCATTTTACGAGAATGTAAGAACACTTTTTACTATAGACAATCACATGTGATACTATTTTTCATCATATATGATATACATGTGATACTAAATCAGAGACACGGACGATTTTCGATACGATTTTGATTGCGCGTCAAGTCGCCCTTACACCACTAAGCCCCCTCACAAGTATTATCACATGTGATAAGGTTGTTGTTAATATGATACTATAATCCATCAAGACCATCACATATGATGATAAATCATAGACATAGACAAACTTTGGCACGACCTAAGTCGTAGAACATGTCGTTCACACATCACATGGTCCCCTCACACGTATTATCATATGTGATAAGAGTGTTCTCGCTTTCTCGTAAAATGAAGGTGTTCTCGTTTTTTTTTTCCTGTTATAATAAGCCATAGGGAGTAGGGATGCTCAAAAATCCAATCAACCAATCAATGCAACACGAAATAACTCAATCTGAAGCAACTCGATGTTTAATAGAGTTGTAAAATCTTCAAACTGTATGTATCGAGTTAATATTGGGTTACTTTTATTTGAACCTAACCCAACTCGATGCACCCGATATCCTTTTATTTTTAGATATAATATGATTATTGAGTCTTTATGAATATATACATTAGACGATTACACTATAACTTACCTTCTTCATATACATATATTTTCAATCTATTCTCCATCTCTATATAATTATTTCGTATATATGTTCAGTAACTGTGAACACACACGCACACACACACACACACATATATATATATATATATATATGGTTGGGTTCCGATGAGAAAAGAAGTTATAGTGAGAAGCGTAATAAGAAATGTTCACCCTTGGATCAATTCTAATTGAATGTCAACACTAATGAGATTGACTGAGATGCACCGAATCAGTTTACTTCTAAAACACAATTCATGGGTGAGCATGAGATTAAAAGTGATCAATGATTCATATCTATACTTACGATTCTCACCATAACTTCCATTCTCACCATAATTTCCCTTCTCAACGATCCGTCACCTAAATGTATATATGCAAATTGAAAAATTTAATTGAAAGTGATATACTTAAAATTTAAGAATATGGATAAGTTGTACCCAATGATTGATGGTAAAAAATAAATTATGAGTAAACTAGAGAAAAATAACATATTCAAGATTTGAAGAATATTTTCATACCCATACACCACCAATCCATAATAATACTTAATGAGACTATTCTAAGGATAAAAACACACATAAAACTTGGAATTTCACTTATACAAAAATTCAGGTGTTACACACTTGTACCATTCTCTTAAAAAAAACCTGATACACATGCCGACAAGAAAAAAATGTTAGGCTTAACGGCTAGTGAGTTCAAACAGTTTTCATTCTTAATATAAAACAGTAAAACTGAAATAATGTTATTTAAATTACAAAAGTTCCCAAAGAAAATGCATTTAATATAAGATTAATGTCCTTCCCGTATTTAGGGGGTGTTTGGGATTGCTTATTTAAAACAACATATATTTTTCTATAAAAGTGTTTATCAACTTATTATAAGTTAGAATAGTTTAACTTCTTTAAAAACTTCTTATTACCGGTTTGACACCGGTATAAGTTATCTATCCAAACACTCAAAAGTGCTTATTACCGATGTCATAACGAAATAAGTCAATAAATTATTTTTATAAGCAATCCCAAACACCCCTTTAATTAAAAATGGTTTAAGACAAACCACTTCATCTGTCACTCTTTCCCTTACTTGGTCACTACTAACTACTAAGGCTTGAAAGTGTATTGAAAGTCATACCATTAAACCAATTTAATTATAAATAAAATTGATCAGTTGTTAGATAATAGTTCAAAATACCAAAAATGGAAAACGGATGTAATTCAGTTACACCGTTATTCAATTATAAATTATGTCGGTTTTATTTTTAAAAGATATATATATATATATATATATATGTATAGGGGCCTATTCAAGAGAGAACTGAGTTGTTTGTGATAACTGTGAGAACCAATATTAACCACAAATCAATAGATAAATTAGGAAATTTATAAATTTGGTAATTTTAAATTAAAATCTTAATGCAAAGATATTTTTGGTATTTTAAAACTCTCCTCTCTCCTCTCTCCGGCCACCGTCCTCCGGTGATACCACTATGATACCACTGTGATACCTAAAAATATTGACTATGTTAAACAAAAGATACATTGTGATACCTAATCATATATAAGATACATTGTGATACCTAATCATATATAAGATGCATAGTGATACCACTGTGTTACATCTTCGATCGACCACACAAACGACATCAATGTGATACCCAAGCACATATATGATACATTGTGATACCATTGTAGTATCACCGGAGGACGGTGGCCGGCGGACGGTGGCCGGAGAGAGAAGAGATGAGGGAGGAAAGTTTTAAAATACCAAAAATATTCTTGCATTAATATTTTAATTCAAAATTGCCAAAATTATAAATTTTCTAACTTATCTATTGATTTATGGTTAATATTGATTCTCACAGTTACCACAAACTAATTAGTTCTAATTTGATTAGGCCCCTATATGTATATATATTATATATTTATAAAATGGATGATGGGGAAGGTATTTGATGGCATTAATTGGTTTTTATTAGCGTACATAAAAGGATTGGAAGATGACCACACCACCGCATGCAGCCACCCAACTAACTCTAGGACGGTTGACCCGTGACCACACCCCTCCATGGACCAACCCACTACAATTAATTTTACATCATCTTTCTATTTTACATTTTATTTAAGTCTATATATATATATATATATATATATATATATATAGACTTTGAATTAAAAGATATTAGAGGGTGGTTAATTACTTAATTTGATGTTCAAATTCAAGTTATTGGAATATTGACTATATTATTGAACAATCAAAGTACTGAAATTGGGTCCATATTGTATTCAAACCTACAACCTAATCTATCCTTTTGTGTTAACCAACCTCAAGCTCGTCATGTATCAAACTGTGATAAGTAAACTCAAAATCGCCCCGTTGTATTTGTGCATCTTGAGGTAGTCTTGTGGTTGAACCCATGGTGGTAGGTGAGGCAGTTTGAGCGATTCGTCATGTAGACACAAAACCTTGTACAGTTATTCGATGAAAATCTTAAACCTTAGTGTTATAACATATAAACCACACAACCCAATAATGTAATTTACTCTAAGTCTTATGAGTTTACCCGTTAATTAAATCAAATGGTCGTACTTCACATTTGTTAAAAGACTTGTATCTTCGTACTATATTATATAATATTTTTATTTTTTGTTCCTAGAAACTTTTAATTTTTAAAAGGTACAACTTATAAAATATAAGATCCGATTTTTTTTTTGAAAATCTCGCTCGTAATTGAACCATTTTCGAAAAACAACATAAAATATAAAATTAAAACAATTCAATTTTTGGATTACAAGAAGGTTTTATATTTTAGGGGGTGTTTGGTTAGAAGTATTAAGCAATAATCAATAGAATTGAAAATAAAAGAAACTGTTTGGTATTATATAATATAATGGACTCATTCTCCCACAAACCCAAATTTTCATTCCAGATTAAACCGGAGGAAATGAAAATTCATTGTCATTTTCATTCTTGAGCATGATCCAAACGAAACCTTAGTGTATAGTGAGTGAATTTAGTTTATACTGATAGTGTGGGGCACCATGGGTGTTGTCATGACTCTACTACCTAAAATTCACCTACTAAAATTAGCATGCATTATTAATGATTAAATATAATATTTATTACAATTTATAGAAGAACATGGACAATAATTTCACCTAACTTTACCATAAAAGCTAATTAATTCATTACTCATCTCATAATTAATGCACCTTATTTCTAACCCTAATTAAATTAAATCCAAAAAAATAAAACAATTTTCTTTTTTACTTTTAAATCCAAAATTTTTAACTTTGTAAAATCAAATTACATCATCAATATATATATATATATATATATATATATATAGATGAGTTATTATACAACCTCTTACATTTGTACAACCAATACAACTCAATCTCAACCGTCTATTTAATTTGATAAATATGTAATTTTATAGAAGTTTTGATTGTTTTCTAATATAAAGTATTGATCATAATTAACTAACCTTATTCATCTTTCATAAATATTTAAATCATAATAAATGAACTCTCATCATTTCCATGAATATTTCAATTTATTAGGTTGCATTGGTTGTACAAATGCCATGAGTTGCATTTGAAACAAACTCTCTCTCTCTCTCTCTCTCTCTATATATATATATATATATATATGATCGTTTATCTACTATCTAATAACAATATTGTATTTTTTAAATAATTTATAATCTCAACTCCAATATTTTTATTTGTATTAAAAGCATTTTAAATGTTTGAATAATAATTACAATATTTTATTTTTTAAAAGAAATCACAAAAAATATGCATTTTAAGAAAAATAGTTTAATTAAACTATTTTTATAAAGAGAGGGCAAGAAAGTGTTATAAAAAGACCAAAAGTAGCTCCAAAGCCAAGTATTTAAACCATGGACATGGACATGGACTGGACAATCATTTTAGACAGCTTGGATGGTAATGGTATTGCTGAATGCTGAGTAAACATTAAGCAATTATATATAATTAAAAAAAATACCCAAATATAAAAACAATCATTAAAATTATTTAATTTATATGTTTTAAATTCTTTAATTATCAAAATTAATTTACTTTTTCAATAATTAATCAATCTTCACATGGTAGTATGAAATCATAAGATATGATTAGTAATTTGTTTGGGCAACACTATTTATTATAATTATAAATTATGAATAATGAACGTGAATTTTTTTGATAATAAATTAATACYTTATTTATGATTATGATAAATATCAGTTGATAATTCATTTGTAACATGATGGCCCATGGGCTTACACTTACAAAGTCCTAAGCCCAAAAGCCCAACTTTCGATGTCCAAATCCAAATCCAGAACCAATAACCATCATCACCACCTCAGTCTCACTGTCAGTGGCATGGCACCTCCACTTCCGTCGCCGTCGTAAAGCATCCGATCATGCCACCGGAAACCCTGGGAAAACTCTTGTTCTGTTTGTACAACTAGAGGAAAAATATTGATGTTATTGGGTATAATTCCTTACACGTGAGCGTGGTCATGGCGACGGACGCGGAGGTGATGGTGTTCGCTCCTTATACAGAGGCTAATTTCCGGCTGGGAAGAGGTCGCAGTTGGTGGAGCATTATACTAGAGCGAAGTCTATACCAACTACGTGGTCATGAATCTCGAAATTGGAACAGATTGTGATATTTCTGAGTGATAATTTGCTCCTGACGAATAGAGTTCATCCTTCTTGCTCAAAATTTGTTGCCTGAGGATTTGGGGATCTGCCTGCTATTCCAGATATAGTGGCAGTTGTAATGAATCCAATCGGAGGAGACACGATATCTATCACTACTGGGGTTCTTTTTGATGCATGTATACGGATCTTATCAGTTGTTCATCAGAGCTTTTGGGATTGCAATCAAGCTTAATTCACTGTTTATTTCGTGATGCAAACTGCTCTAATCTTGTTTCAGATAGATGCTGCTATATTATTCGAGTTCCTCCCCTCATTGCCAATGGCAATTGTGTTGGTATTGCTTTTCAGTCCCCTAATTATAATGCAAGATCATATGAGCACAATGTTCAATAAGATTTGGTGGGATTAGCTTGTGTCTTTTTTACACTAATCTACTGTATCATGGTTAATTCATTTAACTGTTGTTCTTGAATGTTGAAAATTGGTAAATTTGAGGTCTTGTTCATCTAAGATTCAAGATAACAGAAATTTTCACAATTGTTATTGGCAACGACACATATTTACAAATATTAGGGGGGCGGGGCCAGCCTGTTTGGACGTTGTTACTCAATCAAGTGCAACAATGAAGCATCGGAAGCAGAGAGATCGGCATTTCTTGAAAAGCCGGCTTCTGTGAAGTCACGAATAGTATACTGTTTACCATCTTTGGCCGGCCAAACATATTTTGTAGTATCTACCGACTCTAGTTCAAAGATTCTTTAATGGCTCGCCATTGGGCATTCACAGCTTTTTCTTGCTGATTACATCTCATCTTTGTAAATTCAGTCAACTGTTTTATCATATAACATCATTAGAATAAGGAAAGACTGTTTCTAAATTCCATTTTATTCCTGCTTCCTGTGCTCAATGCCTGTTGTTTGAGCTAAAAAACTGCATAAAGAGAAGCAGAAGTGTACTCATTTTACGTTTCTTGGTCAGAAATGGGTCGAATTCGATCCCTTTTCTGGGGTGGGTTTGTTTTCTTTCTTCTTTTTTCAGTAGGCAAGACAGAAAAAGAAGATGTAATAGATGCATTAGTCACTTTCATGGAGAACCTTGATCCTAAGGACATGCAAAACACCACGAATTGGGGATGGAATAGATCGTCAGATCCTTGTACCACTAAATGGCAAGGGGTTACATGTGACACAGGCAACCAAACCGTGCAGAAGATCGTTCTTGAGCAGCTGAATCTATCAGGAACCCTTGATTTTGAATCCGTTTGCGAAGAAACTTCCCTTCTTTCACTGAGCCTGAAATACAACAATCTTAGTGGAAGCTTGCCGCCGGAGATATCAAACTGCAAAAGGCTGAGGCACTTGTACCTAAGTGGGAATCGCTTTTCAGGTAATCTTCCCGATTCTCTTACGGATTTGGCCAATTTGAAAAGGATTGATATATCCAACAATGAGTTCAGTGGTAAGTTGCCAGATATGTCAAGAATCACAGGCTTATTAAGCTTTTTCGCCCAGAACAATCATTTTACTGGGCAGCTACCAAACTTCAATTATCGCCAACTTGAAGATTTTGATGTCTCCAATAATGGTTTTAGTGGTCGAATTCCCGATGACACTGGTGGTTTTGGTGCCAAAAGTTTTGCCGGTAATCCTCAGTTGTGTGGGAAAGAGTTGCCGAATGCATGCCCAAAGAAAAAGAAGAAAAACTTGAATGATTTTCTTATTTTTTCCGGTTATGCAATTCTTGGTTTGATAGTTCTGGTTCTGATTGCTCTCTTATTCCTCAAGAAAAAAGAGAGGCTTGAAGATGCCAAGATTGGTTCCTCTAAGAAGGGAGTTAAGAACACCGATGATAGTGGTCATTCAAGTGAGTCCAAGAATGGTGTCACCAGGTCTGAATTCTCAATAACGTCGGCTGAAAATGGTGGGGTTTCAGCTTCTCTTGTTGTTCTTTCGAGTCCATTGGAAGCGGTTAACGGGCTGAGATTTGAAGATCTGCTTAGAGCTCCAGCTGAATTGATTGGAAGGGGAAAACATGGAAGCCTCTATAAAGTCATTCCAAATGGTGGGATTGCTCTTGTCGTTAAAAGGATAAAAGATTGGGAGATATCGAGAGATGAGTTCAAGAAAAGAATGCAGAGAATAGACCAAGTGAAGCACCCTAAAGTGCTCCCAGTGGTTGCATATTACTGTTCTAAACAAGAAAAGCTGCTGGTTTATGAGTTCCAGCAGAATGGCAGTCTTCTTGCGCTTCTCCATGGTAAAGTTGTTTCATTCTTGCCATATTTCAGAATCACAAGCTTGTTATCATTCATAGGATATTTTGAATCTCTCTTTAAAAGTGCCCTTATAGAGATGGCATGTTCCTACATATGTATATGTTTGATGGCCCGTGTCTAGCCGATGTGGAACTCTGACACACCCCTCCAACGGAGGGTAAACTGTGCCCCTAAAATGGAGGTGAAAAAGTGTGTCGAGTTCCTAGATGTGGTAGATCCCCGCTCTAATTCCATGTTAGGATATGTATAATCTCTTTGAACCTCCCTTTAGAAAATCCCTCGTAGAGAAAGGTGGTTCCTACATATACACACACACACACACACACACGTATACTCATTTACAAACCCAGTGAATTGTACAAACTTACATACTAGTTTCATGTGTTGCTTCACATATGAAACAGCACGTGAAAATGCAATATTGTTTTAATATGTGAAACGTTCAGGATTATTTTGTGTGCGAAAAAAAGGTCCTGAACGTTTCACGTATGAATCAACACTATATAAACATTATATTTTCATATGTGTTCACGTGGAATCTGGTTTGTAAGTTTCTACAAATTATGAAGGCTAGAAGGTGCCTCCAAGAACGGAGGCAAAAGAATGTGTCGAGTAGACACCAGTGGTCTGATACAATGATAGGATATATAGTAAGTTGGTTCATTCTTACTGTATTTCAGAAATCACAAGCGTTAAGGTAATCGAACCCCTTTGAATCTCTCTCTAAAATACCCCTTATATAAAGAGGGAAAATTCCTATATATTTAGGTTTTGATGATCTGTGTGTTGCAACAATGGTTTACCTTTTTTAATGATATGCAGGATCACAAAATGGACAAACTTTTGACTGGGGAAGTCGACTCAACATCGCATGTAGCATCGCGGAGGCACTGGCGTTCATGCACGCAGAGCTTCAAGACGACCAGCTGGCTCATGGAAACTTAAAATCATCAAACATCTTGCTTACAAAGGACATGGAGGCTTGCATGAGCGAGTATGGTTTAATGGTGGTTGACAACGGTTGTGGTTCACACTCACAGAAGAACAACAGCGTCTTCAATGCAGATGTGTATGCCTTTGGTGTGATTCTCTTGGAGTTGCTGACAGGGAAGACGGTCCAGAACAACGGGCTCGATCTGGTAAAGTGGGTTAACTCAGTGGTGAAGGAAGAGTGGACGGGTGAGGTGGTGGACAAGGCATTGGTGGTGGAAGGTGCGAGTGAAGAGAGGATGGTGGGTCTGTTGCAGATAGGTTTGAAGTGCATAAATGGTTCACCACCCATTGGTCAAGTGGCAACCATGATAGTTTCCTTGAAGGAAGAAGAAGAAAGATCCATGGCTTCTTCTGGTCCATGATTTCAATGGTAATCGTTTAAATGATTTCAAATCATATCGGTTTTACTTTTTTTGTTTGTCTTTAAAGAATAAATGTATGGGGCATAATTTGTTCAACAAAGTAAAAATTACTTGAAGATCATTTTCTTATCGATTATTTTATGTAATAATACGTTAAATATATTAAAATGTAATAATTTTTCTTAATTAATATTATTTTTTTATTTCGTACATATAATGATTATATGTCATATGAACATGTAAAAATATGTTATGTTATATGTTTGTATCATATATATAATATTGAAACGTTAGTCGTTGTGGTTTTTGGTTACATACAAAATACTATATTATTTATTAAATAAAATAAAATAAAATAAAATAAAAATTATTTTGAGAATAAAACTCATAAACAAAAAGGAAAAAAAACGTTAATTGGTGAATCTCATAGTTGTATTAAAAGACAACATCTGAATCGTTAAGAGATGAATTTTGTTTGACAAGAAAAAAATGTCTCTTAATGGTTCCAAAACTCTCTGAATGATTCTCTCTTAACCATTAAGAGCCTTAATTTCATTGTCCATAATTACCAAACAATTATATTTGATTTTACATTATATCATGAAAGTTTCTTGATCATTCGACGACAAACCATTCAGCAATTGCCAAACTCCGGATACTAGGGGCACAAAGGTAGCGTTCCATGTAGTACTCTTTTCCACTTTCCTTTTTACTACTCTTTTAAGGACTGAACCCCAAAACCCCCCTTCTGCATCGATCATCGTCCTTCTCTTAAAAAAATGGCGGTAGAAGAGAGAGCCACAGCCACCGTTCGAGTCTCAAACATTCCCCGATCAGTCACCGCCCAAGACCTCCTCGACTTCCTCGAATCCCACACCGGAAAATCCACTGTATTCGCCTGCGAAATCTCCTCCGATCACAAGAACTGGAAGTCTAGAGGTTTTGGTCGCATCCAGTTCGAAACCCTAGAATCCAAATCCAAAGCCATATCTCTATCTCGACAGGGACTCCTCTGCTTCAAGGGTTTCAACCTCTCCCTCTCGCATTCCCTCGATGACGTCATTTTCCGTCCAGTACAGCCCCACAATCGGGTCGAACACGGGTTTTTGAGAACCGGATTGTTGCTGAAAAGGGATTGCATGTCTGTTTTGGAGTCCTGGGAAGATGTTAAAGCTTGGGTTTTGCCTGAAAGAAAGTCTCTTGAGTTTTGGGTCAAACATTTTGGGGATTGTTACAGATTGGAGTTGCAATTTAGCGATGTTTTGGAGGCTTTTCCATGCTCTCTTCATAGCCAAGAAACCAATGCAGTTCTTCTAAAGGTATATAATCTTCTACCTTTTGCAAAAAATTCGAATATTCACATGTGATTAGTAGAAATTTATCCAATGGATTTAGTTTTATTTAGCAATTAATAGACACTAATCTCGGGATTATGCTGTTAATTTTCCTAAAATTTAAACATTCAAGATTTATCCTCTTTCAGAACTGTAGTTTAATCTTTCATATGAATTTACAGAAACCACATTGAAAAGAGTTCGAATTTGAACCGAATATCGAATTTAATGATCAAAACTTTATGTTTCCTTATTAGCTTAAGCATGCACCAAAGCTATACCAGAAACTATCAGGATCCAATGTCTCACCACGGTTCACCCCCGATCGTTACCATATCTGCAAAGAAGATTTTGAGTTCACCTGGGTTCGAACCACGGATTTCTCCAGCACGAAATCCATCGGTCAGTCTTGCACGTTATGTTTGGAATTTAAAGAAGGATGTTCGGGTTTAGATAGTTTCACAAGTTTACCTGTTTATATCAAAGATCTGATAGATTTGTCGGTGAAAGACGGACAAGAATTTCATTCGTCGTCTGATGTAGTTCCGCTTGTAAGATGTCCCCCGGAGTTGGATTTACCGTACGAGATCCTCTTTCAGCTCAACTCCCTAATTCAGACACAAAAACTAAGTCTTCCTTCCGTAGATCGTGACCTAATTGAGTTCATTATCAGCCAAAATTCGGATTCTGTAATGACGGTTTTAAAGAGAATGCATAAATCACATTCCACTTGCTACGATCCCATTACATATATCAAGGATAAACTCGACATCCAAAGTAAAACCGTCAAAATCACATCATCTATTCAAAGCAAATCCGCAAGTCAAAACAAGATAATGAGCATTCATCGAGTCTATATAACCCCATCAAAGATCTACTGTTTGGGTCCTGAACTTGAGGCCTCAAATTACATAGTGAAGCATTATTCGGCATATTCTTCTGATTTTTTAAGAGTAACATTTGTCGAAGAAGATTGGGGTAAGCTTCAGCCGACCGTCATTTCAACCAGCCTTCAGCAAGGGATCTTTTCAAAGCCTCAGAAAACCAAGGTGTATGATCGAGCGCTTGATGTTATGAGAAATGGGATTTGTATAGGATCAAAAAAGTTTGAGTTTTTAGCGTTCTCCGCGAGTCAACTCCGGTCAAATTCTGTTTGGATGTTTGCTTCTAACGACCACGTGACAGCCGAAAGTATAAGGAATTGGATGGGCTGTTTCAGAAGTATTCGTAGTGTATCAAAATGTGCTGCGAGAATGGGTCAGCTGTTTAGTACTTCGAAGCAAACCATCGAAGTCCTACCTCATCATGTTGAGATTATTCCCGATATCGAAGTCAAAACTGATGGTGTTGACTATTGCTTTTCAGATGGTATCGGAAAAATCTCCCTTTCTTTTGCCAAAGAGGTCGCTTCGAAATACGGATTGAAGCATACCCCTTCAGCTTTTCAGATTCGATACGGTGGATATAAAGGCGTGATTGCGGTCGATCGGAATTCCTTCAAGAAGCTCTCTTTACGTAAGAGCATGCTCAAGTTCGAATCAAAAAACCGAATGCTTAATGTCACAAAACATAGCGAATCCCAATCTTGCTACTTAAACCGTGAGATCGTTACCCTTATGTCGACTTTAGGAGTCGAAGATGATGCTTTTCTGGCGTTACAAGATGTACAGCTTCGGGTTCTAAACGCAATGTTGTACAGTCGAGAGGATGCGCTCACTGTTTTAGATAGTTTGGGATCGTATGATGTTAAAGATATTCTCGTAAAGATGTTGCTTCAAGGTTATGAACCGAATCGAGAACCTTATCTCTCGATGATGCTTCTTTCACATCACGATAATCTGCTCGTTGATCTCAGAACCAGATGCCGGGTCTTTGTCCCCAAGGGTCGGATTCTCGTAGGGTGTTTGGATGAATCTGGGGTTTTGGACTACGGTCAGGTTTATGTTAGAATCACGTTGACCAAGTCGGAACTACGATCTAGGGAACATCACTACTTCAGAACAATGGATGAGACCACATCGTTGGTGATGGGGAAGGTTGTCGTCACGAGAAATCCGTGTCTTCACCCGGGAGATGTCAGGGTGCTCGAGGCTGTCTACGAGATCGCATTAGATGAGAAAGATTATAAAGATTGCATCGTGTTTCCTCAAAACGGAGAAAGGTGATGATTACTTACTTATCTTTCTCGTTTTACAATTACTTTGACTAGCCCCAAGTCTTCATGGAAACAACTCTGCTCTACTCTTTGTGGTAGAGAACAGATCTGCATACATCTCACCCCAGACCGATTTATTGGTGCAAACTTGTATGCTCAATTGTTGTCATATTACAGGCCTCATCCAAATGAATGCTCCGGTGGTGATCTTGATGGTGATTTATATTTCGTTAGCTGGGATGAATCTCTAGTCCCACCTCGGACCGTGACACCAATGGACTACACTGGTCGAAGACCACGTTTGATGGATCATGACGTGACGTTAGAGGTAAGTCCGACATTCATAAAACTGACACTTGTATTTTCTGGCAAAACTATAGCATGAAAACTGAAGATCAAGGGTTCCCAGTGGAACCGGGGTTATCGGTAGGGCCCAGCTTTCCATATGGTCGGGGGTTCAAACCCTACCAAAGTTGAGGAGTGTGTGAATATTTGCTGTATATAAATATTATACACTTGAAAAGAAACTGAAATCAACAACTCGTTGCAGGAAATCGGAAAGTTCTTTGTGGATTACATGACGAGCGATACACTAGGGGCCATCTCTACTGCACACTTGGTTCATGCGGATTGCGAACCCGAGAAAGCTCTAAGCGCAAAATGTCTTCAATTGGCCACACTTCACTCGATGGCCGTTGATTTTGCGAAAACGGGAGCTCCGGCCGAAATGCCTCGGGGTCTAAGACCAAGGGAGTATCCTGATTTCATGGGAAGGTGGGACAAACCCATGTATATCTCCCAAGGACCGCTCGGAAAACTTTACCGTGCGACCAAGGAATCCGAGCTTCTCAAAATCTCGGCCTCCGCTTATACATCCAAAGCCATCCAAGATGCTTACGATCAAGATCTTGAAGTCGACGGCTTCGAGAATTTCATCGAGATTGCACAAACACATAAAGAGATGTACTTGGATTCTCTCACGAGCTTGATGAACTACTACGAAGCAGAGACGGAAGACGAGATTTTGACGGGAAACATACGGAACAAATCGTCATATCTTCAGCGGGATAACCGGAGGTATGGTGAGACCAAAGATCGGATTCTGGTGGCGGTCCGGCAGCTGCACAGGGAGGCAAAAGGGTGGTTCGAGGGCGGATGTAAGGCGGAAGACCACCACAAGTTGGCTTCGGCATGGTATCACGTGACTTACCGTGCAGATTACAGCAGCGGAAGCGTAAAATGTCTGGGGTTTCCATGGATTGTGGGTCATCTGCTGTTGGAGATCAAGTCGATTAACAGCCGAAATATGTCGATGTGAAGATGATGGTGTTTTGATGAATTGAAACCAAAATTAATGCTATTGTTGTTTGCTGAAAATTCTATATTGCTTTTGTTTGTGTTTCAGTTTTTATGCTTTTTGGTTCTAAAATATGGGTCAAAAGTAACCAAAAGGGTGGTGTCTGATTGGTTTGAGCTTATCTTCAAAGGTCAAAAGAATTTGGAGGTCTCAGGTTCAAATCCAAGGAAAAATAAAAATCTCTTTGTGGCCACGGAGGTTTAAATGCGGTGACTTCGGGCTATCTGCAAAACAAGTGGTCGTCCTGAAATTAGTCGGTTCGCATAGCAGGTTTGATATCCAGGTCAATAAAAAAAATATGGGCCAAAACTCAAAACTTTGGAATTTGTTTTTTCAAATATACCTCATTTTACCAAAAAACAAAATTATAAAGGGCAAAATGCATAAAATAGCAATATACTTTCATAAATTTTTTTATTATAGCATTGTACTTTCAGTTTTTTTTTATTACAGCAATGTACTTTCAAATTATTTTTTATTAGGACATTGTACTTAGAAAAATTTACCCATTATAGCATTGGGTAACCTTTTGATTTAAATTTACCCATTATACTAGGTTTCCATGCCACCTCATTGTCCACGTAGGTTGTCCACATGTACTATAGTGATGTGACTTTCTTACTACATCATTGTACTTTCAAAATTATTTTATTATAGCATCTACTAGTTCTTATTAAACACTGTATTTTTTTATTTTAATATTTAGACATTTTACATGTTTTTTTAATAAATGTATTAAATGAATTAAAAAAATTCTAAATTATTGATTAATATACCAATATCAATAAAACTAGTAGAACACAACTTATCTCGCTAATATTTTTAAAAAAATATGTGTTTTTTGAAAAAAAAAAAGAAAATAAGAATTGTTCTTTTTTACCAAAAAATATTATCTTTACTTGACGAATATATTATATTTGTTTAAAAAATTTTAATTGACGTATAAATATATTAAATTAATTAGATTTTTTTGAAGTATTTATTAATATAACAATATTAAAAAACTGTAGATAACAATTTATTTCGTTAATATTTTAAAGAGAACTTTAAAAGATATGTATTTATTTGAACAACATAAAATAAGAAAAGTTGTCTTTTTTACAAATAAAATATATCTCGAAAATAATGTTGCATATTTATTTAATGAATATTTTAGTCTAAGAATATTTAATTTAAATGCAGCTTAATAAAAAAAAAGTAAAAAAAATAAATGTTTTTTAGATAATAGCAATGAAAAATGAAAATCACTAATAATAATTTGAAATATGTTTTTATTTTAATTTTAGTTAAGTCATCAAAATGATGTGTCATCCACATCACCTCATTAAAGCCACACAAGCAAAAAAGTCAAAGGGTTAACCGGTTTAAAAGGTAACAGGTTATCCATTGCTATTATGTGTAGATTTTTTAAAGTACAATGCCTTAATAAAAAATAAATTGAAAGTACATTGTTGTAATAAAGAAAAACAAAAGTAGAATGCTATAATAAGAAATTTTGTGAATGTAGGTTGCTATTTCATGCATTTAACCCAATTATAAATAACATACTTTTCTTACTTGTTTATAAACCGAAATATCTTTCTTTAACTTTTCCGTTTCATAACACTTATAAAGTTAAAATACCACCACTTAACAACCCAACCGTTATAATAATCGTTCCTTCTATGGGTGAGTCAAGTTTGGTTCGTTAAGAATACTTAACTATTATTGTTATAAAAAGTTATATTGTTAAAACAAAAATAAATTTACTTCATTATTAAATTTAAATTAAATTATATTAAAAAATTGAATTAAATATTTTTTTTTTAAATCGAATACCTTTAGATAGTTAATTTAATACTAATAAATATATAATTTTTTCGATTTTTTTTTATCTTCAAATTTATATTTTTATTCAAAACATTCTCACTTTCTCAAAACACAAAAATCTTAATTTATCGACAGAAACAAAAATAAAACGAAACATTATAAAATCAAGATATATCTCGTTGTATTGTACGAGTATTTTTTTATTTTTTATAAAAATAATAGTTAAATATTCTGTTCGAACTAATGATTATCATAATTATATTTTATATTTTTTATATTTAAAATAAAATGTCTATCATGTATTTGATTATGTTTATCTACAGTTAGTTAAACAAATTCAAAAATAATTATTTAATAAGTTGCATTTATGCACAATTTACTTTACTTGTAAATTTTAAATAATATTATATCAATAAACAGTATTTTATATATAAAAAATGAATTTTAAAAGTTTTATGAAATGCTTTGTAATATAATATAGATATAGACGTCTTTATCACTCTTTTCTACATTGCAATAATTGGTGATGTAGAATTCATCGAGATATTACAAACACCTTTAAATCATGGTAGAAGTTGATAACTTTGATTTTATAAAAAGCTCACAAATTTAATCTTATATCCATGTGGAATAGGTTGTTAACCCTAACTTAACAAAACATTTTTAACGATCCTAAAAAAACAAATGATCAATCCATAACGAAAATAAAACCACAAGAAACAAATCCATACAAAAGAAATCCGAACCACAAGAACAGTCTTTGTAATTTACATCTGTTTTGTGTAAAAATTTGAACTGATTTACTCTTGTTGCATCAAACTGATACAAAATTTGGTGTTTTACACTGAAAATGTCCTTAGATTAGAAAACATATATGTATACGTCTAACGTCTCACCTCAAACCCCAAAACGAAATAAAATATATTTAGTTTATCTGGTTTAACCAACGTTTGCCCAAAAGTTCTCTCCTCTTTAGGAGCTGTTAACTAAACTCATACCGGATAAGCACTTAAATTACTGAATCACTCATCTTAGCTGTAAGGATGACAAGAATCGAGAAGTTACTTGATAAGAGGCATGACAAGAACCGAGAAGTTTACTTGATAAGAGGCATGACAAGAACCGATAAGTTTACTTGATAAGAAGCATGACAAAAACCAAGAAATCTTACCCGATAACTGAGATAGAAAATTCTTGCCCAACAAGCCGTTATCGAGTAAACCCGCAATCCATTTTGATTGTAATTTGTGCCTATAATGTTATCCATCACAAGGTAGCTAGGTAAGTGAGGATTATGATCCTTCCGATAAACAGTCGGTTACCGGTAAGCGTTCGATAAACAACTTGTAAGTGTCCTGCTAGCCGATCAAACAACCGCTTCAACTTTCACAAAATGTTCTTGGTATTGCGTTACTCAAACCATCATTCTCGCTTCTGCTTCGTTCACTACCGCTCGAGTGGGTGCTTGATATTCAATATTGTGACCATTAAAGAAGAAATGGGGTTTACTTTGTCCATCCAACCATGTGCAGAATTCCAACAATCATAGGTTATATATGTTTCATTTAGCACACAGTCGGAATCCTCCATTGATGCTTTCAGAAATGGGCTTTTCTTCACCTTCCCATCATTTTAAATTGTTGTATACGCAATGTTTAAATATATTTAAACTAAATACAGCAGGTCTTGTAAAGAGAAGTGATGATACCCAATCAAATCGAATTTGAGATATTCTTGAAATGACAGATGATTCCACAAGTCATCGAAGAACCAACCCTCAATTTTCCTTTCTTTTAAGAAAAAACACAAATGTTGATTGGTTTTTAATTTTAGTTTATTTTCGATGAACCAACTCTAAGCATTTGAAAACAAAATTCAAATGTATTTAGCAAATTGATACAGCTCTGAGTGCAACATTTGACGTTAAAATCCAATTGAATCAAAGAAACTGCCAAAGAGATTTGATTACGACCGGTGATGGTATATTCGATCCGACGTCAATCACGATGAAGAAAATTATTAAGTAGTAAAACTCACACAAAACTCGGACCGATTTCATCTCTGCGGCTATCCACAGACGTTTTACCGGTGATCGGAATCGTCGACGGCTGCAAAACGTAGCGTGATGAGAAGTTACGGAAGAGATACTCGTTCTCCGTCTCCGGATCTGCGTTTTGCAAGGGTCCTTGGTCGAAATTGAGTGCGTAACTAAGAGGATCGTACTGGAACTTGGAGGATTGTCTACCGAATGTCTTGCTATGTTTAAACCGTCGTATGAAGGTCTTCCATCTTGGACCGGCAACGATCTCCGACCACTCACGGATTTTCTTGAAGGCAGCGATTCCTCGTGACCACAGATTTCCATTTGGCCGGATCTCCACCTCCTCCTCTTCAGAAGACGGTACCCTCCGCCAACGATAAGGTATGCAGAAACAATAAGTTGGATTACGGAAGAGTATTTCTGAGGAGTGTTGGTTAGATTCAGCGTCTGCAGGAGATAATTGAGTCACCATAGAAACAATACAGAGGTAGTGTGTGTTGGCTTGTCAATGGCGATGCGTACTGTGGAGAAGAAGAAGAAGAAGAGATATATACAGAGAAAGAGAGAGACGAAGGGTTTTAGTTTTGGGGAGGGTTCGGTATTATAATCAGGAGGTGCTTCGTATGGGGTCTGTTTTGGATGGTCGATTCATACTTATTATGATCGGTTATAAAACTTAAATTTATATTTAAATAAAATTATAATTATAATTATAATCATAATCATTTAATATTCATAAATAGTTAAATATATTAAATCATTTCATTTAACAGGGAGCTTTTATAACGAGTGTGAAACTGTGAATGCATGATATTATTATTATTTATTAAATACATACTTGTATATTTTAAAATTAAATTAAATATTACTTAATGTTAATATATATGTAATAATAATATTAATAAGTAGATGTATATTTATGGGTCACAGTTAACAGATAAGTGTTTATCGGTCAAAAAACGTCGCATGTCTTTAGTTTATCGTATAAAATTATTGATTATCAAAATAAATTGTTGATAAACGTCTTAACCCGATAATTACTTATGAAATAAAGAGCATTTTCTCCCACATACCGGACAAGAACCTCACTTCTTGCCATCATACAATCAAAATTTGGTATCGTATAGAGTCACTAGATGGTGACAAAAGACATAAACCGTCCAAAGATGCATGATACAGCTGACAGAGTGGCTATAGGTTAGGAAGTTGGTGGTGGGTAAGAGGATTTGTCCTTCGATGTATATATATATATATATATATATATATATATATATATATATATATATATATATATATATAAATACAGGGGCCATTCAAGGGAGAACTGTTTGTTCATAGTAACCGTGAAATCTAATTTCAACCACAAATCAATAGATAAATTAGGAAATTTATAATTTTGGTAATTTTTAATTAAAATTTTAATGCAAGAACATTTTAGGTATTTTCTTTCCTCTTTCCTCTTTCCTCTCTTCTCTCTCCGTCCCCGTCCTCCGGCCACCATCCTCCGGTGATACCACAGTGTGATACTCAAACACTTATAAGATGCATTGTGATACCACTGTGTTACATATCCGATCGATCGCTCAAACGACCACAGTGTGATACCCAATCACATATATGATGCATTGTGATACCACTGTGGTATCACCGGAGGACGGTGGTCGGAGGACGGGGGACGAAGAGAGAAGAGAGGAGATTAGAGAGAGGAGAGAAAATACCTAAAATACCCTTGCATTAAAATTTTAATTAAAAATTACCAAAATTATAAATTTCCTAATTTATCTATTGATTTGTGGTTAAGATTGGACCTCACAGTTACTACAAACTAATCAGTTCTCATTTAATTAGGCCCCTATACATACATACATATATATATATATATATATATAAGGTTGATTTGAGAAGTAAAAAAAGTGATCATAGTCTTTTATCTGGTTAATATTTACGACTTTGACCGTGAAACACTGGATAATTACTCACAAGAGTATGCGAAAGATGAAGGGGTAGTGTCGTAACTTTTACAAATAGACGACAAACAGATTCATATGTAAACCCATGTGATTCATATATTAACCAATATGCTCATATGTGAATCAGTTAATTAGTAGATATGTTAATCACAAGAGTTCGTATGTGAATAAGTTAAAATAGTTCATACGTGAATTACACGGGTTCTTATATAAACATATAGTTCATATGTGAATCACATAAGTTCACATATAAACCTGTTTGTCAATTATTTGTAAAAGTTGCAAAACTGCCTCCTCTATTTTTCACATAACCGTGGTTTTTGACCAGTCAAATCCGATTTTCACCGTATGAAGGTCTAGAATCACTTCTTTACTTCTCAAATATTTACAACTTCTCAAAATAACCTTTGGCTATCTATGTATGTATATATATAGGGGCAGGTTCAGATGAGAACGCTAGCTATTTAAGAAAACAAAAAAATATCGTTAATGTACAAAATCATATATGATTCACATAACAAATCATACATGATACGAGTGACTTTGTCTACGACTTAAGTGGCCTCAAAAGTCGTCCGCTTCCATTTAATGTAAAATCACATGTGTTTTTGTACATTAATGAATTTTTTCTTGTTTTCTTAATTAGTTAGCGTTTTCGTTTAAACCCCCCTCTCCCCCCCCCCCTCTCTCTCTCTCTCTCTCTCTATATATATATATATATATATATAGGTCTAATCAAATTACAATTGTTTTGTTTGTGGTAACCGTGAAATACAATTTCAACCACAAATCAAATGTTATATTAGGAAATTAATAATTTTGATAATTTTAACTTAAAATATTGATTAAGGGCATTTTAGGAATTTTATAAGTCTCCTCTTTCCTCCCTCCGACAAACTTTATTCCGATGAACCTTATGTGAACATAAGATACACATTATGACACCTACAAACAATATTCATTGTGATACTCAGATATACATACAAGATATACAATGTGATACTCTTTGTAAAACAATGAAAATAATGAATATGCACACTATGATACATTTCATAAAACAAATAAAATACATTGTGATACACGTGAAACATTGTGAACATTATCACTGTGATACATTTTGATTCACAAACATCTTTAAAATATGATACATATTAGGTAATTGATATAGTTGATAACTAATTTTAATTAAATATTTTCTTCTAAAAAATTTAATTAAATATTTTCTTCTAAAAAATGTAATTAAATATTTTGATTAGTTGTTAAAAATAAAATTGCTATATTGCTTTTTTACTTAAATATCTCAAACGAGTGGTTCATATTGGATCTCACGGTTACTACAAAATAATCAAATCTTCATTGAATGCTCCTCTCTCTCTCTCTCTCTCTCTCTATATATATATATATATATATATATAACACGATCTTATGAATGCCTTATGGTTATGAACACATTTTTATGAGCACCTATGAACACATATGAGCACAGTTTTATGAACACCTATGAACACATGAACAAGTTGGACACATATTGTACAAGGTAACATAACTATTTTAGTTCGTTAATGGAACTGTCAATCGAATTCTTGTTCTTCACCGGGTTGCATAAAAACATGTATATACGATTAAAACATGAAAGGTAAAAAACGTATTGACATTCTAAAGATTATGGCCAACATTCCCAAATCGTTAGTTTAAATAATTTGTATTTTCAACTAAATTTGGAACACACAAGACATTAGACTTGAAAGTATCAGATATCTGTGCATAACGTGATACGCACAATGTAATACCTGGAATTATCACGCTTGCACATCCCAAAAATTACTCATTAAAATGTTGTCACAATTTGTACACCCACATTGTGCACATTGTTGCTAGATATTGTCATGTTGTTTGTTGAAAGTGAACATATGAACATGGTAAGCACCTTGTGAACACCTTGTAAACTAAATCTTAAACCAAAAGACAAAAATTAAAATCCAAATTAAAATTGAAACCCAAACCTAAACATAAACCCTAAAATTACTGATGTTGGTGTAATCTCCTCGAAGCATAACATTTTCGGTAGCTTTTGATCGACATAAAATATGGGGCAACTGCACCGATGTCGCTTGAGTTATCGGAGGAGGCGTGGTGAAGATGAAGACCTACAATTGTAAATCTTCTACTTCGATGTCTGAAAATAGGAGTCGAAAAAAAGAATGAGTGGGTCAATGGTTGCAACCTCGTTTTGTGGTATCTTTTATACCATACCATGCATTGGCTGATAGGTTTTCGAGAGTTTAAGAGGCTTGAAGAGAGAAAAAGATGTCTCTTTTAGGGGCTGTTTGGATCATGAGAATTGAAATGAATTGAAAGGAATTGGAATATCCAATCCTTTGACCAAATTCCAAATACAGTGTTTGGTTCATGGAATAAGCCTATGGAATTCTTTCAATTCCAATCGATTCCTTCATGCACAGATTTTACAATTTCATGGCCATATGTTAGGATTTCAATTCCTTTCCTACAGATTCCTTCCCTAATCCAATTCCATGCAACCAAAGGCAATCACAAGGCATAGTCAAATTCCATCAGATTCCATTTCATTCCCCCAAAGTCAAATTCATTTGATGAATTCCAATTTCATTGAATTTCATTCTACGAACCAAATGCCCCTTAGGGTTTTCAATTTATGGAAATGGAGTAAGAGATATGATAAATGAATAAATATATTCATTGGTGAGTTGCCATCCATATTAAAAGGCAATGTTCAAAAAAGATCCTTGCCATAGTCGCCATGGCGCGCAGTGGCTCAAGACTTGTGTCTCGTGTCACGTTATGCCTGAGGCACGCCACGACGTAATGCACGGTTTTTGTTACACAATATTTGATTTTTACTTATCTTTTTAATATCTTATTTGTTAGTTTTTAATATATAATTTAATTTAAATTGCCTAGTTTGATCTATTGAGTAATAGTAGAAAATATATGTTTATGTATATAATTTTATATACGATATAGAGATTTGTCGCCATAAATCATGCCTTAAAAACGTCGCGACCTCGTCGTGGCTTCCAAGGCTTGAGGTTTGACCTCGCCACCACGCCACGCCTCACGCTCCTTAGAACTTTGTTAAAAAGTTACAAAATTACCTATGAGTTATTTATTAAAAATATATATACTTAATTAACTAAAATGGGTGGCTAATATGGGATCTCACAGATGCCATAAAATTTGGAGTTCTTAAATAATTAAGCCCATATATATATATATATATATATATATATATATATATAACCAACCTTAAGGTTACAATGGTTATAACCAAATCTAGATCCTCCATTTTTTTGATCAACTCTTGAGAAATTTTTTATCTTTAATTGATTTAGAAATTAAGGAAAGAGTAATTTTGGAATATATTTTAAATTTAAATAATTAAAGTTTTATATTGTGTATATGATTTCATATATAAAAAAGTGATGGATTTTTTAATATATGTTTTCAAAATAAATTGTGAATTTTTTTATATATGGGTCATTTTTGTATCAGATATGAAAAAGTGATGAAGATGAAGAAGATGATTCAAATTTGAAAAAGGACATGTAGAAGGCGACCATGAAAATAAGAGATGATTCTGAAATTCATATAATAACA